TCATGTCAACGCAATTGTGAAACTTTTTCAAATCTTTAAAATCAGGGCTGAAACCGGCTTTAGTGCAGGTGAAATTGGGTTCAGGCTGTGCAATTGGTCGTGTTGTAGTAGGCAATGCTTCTGTTGGTTTGTTTGTGCTTGGCACTTTCTGAGAAATGGTTGTTAGCTTTTGTGTGCTTGGTCGCGCACTTGTTGTGCTAGGTCTAACTGTGGTCCACTCCCACGGTCGAGAAGAAGTGCTGCTACTGCCACTGTTTGGACGAGGTGTGGTAGCATGCGTTCTGGGAATTTTCACATCAGGGCCATCGACTGAAACAAACAAATTCAATGTTAAATTCAAAAAATATTAAGTTAAAAATTACTTTTGTTAAGAGTACGAGAGAGTGTTTTAAGCAATGGATATTTTCCAGCTCCGCAATGGCCAGAAAAGTCCTAAATTAAAAATGAAATAAAAATATTTTAAAATATATTGAAATAATCTTACGTCAGTATCAATCGACCAAATCATTGCACCGCCAAGTTTCCGACTCAAAAGAAAATCAAGTTTTTTCTTAATAGATCTCACGTTGTCATAACCGACAAATTGATTTCCATTAGTTGCATATGCAACCTCTTGTGTTTCATTGTAATGCTCCTGCCACCCGTTTTGCACCATTGAGCAGATTTCATTGTACCCAAGCATTCCAATAATTCGGGTTATTGGGCCAGGATTACCACCTTTTCCCTATTTCAAAAAAATCTAAATAAAAATAAAAAACCAAAATGTAGGTCTTACTATTGCTGGTGCACCCAAACCATTATCTTTTGAATCTTTCAAAGTAAATGTTCGGCCGTACAATGGAAAACCTTGGATTAGCTTAGCCGGATCAGCTCCCTTTTCAATCCAGTAGTCAATGGCAAATTGAGTGGTGAATTCCTTGTCAATTCCAGTTGCATTCTCCAACGGATACAAAGGAGCATTATGCCAAACGTTTGGACTCCAGCCGCCCTTAATTTTAAATTAGTTAAAATAGTGAAGTTTTTTAATATTACTTACCCAAAAATCATAAGTCATGACAAAGATTAAATTCAACAATGAGCTCACTTCTGGAACACTAAACAAATTTATAAATTTAAAAAAATAAAAAAGTTTTAAAAGAAACTCACTTGTAAGCCCGATCAATTGTTGGTTTTCCAGCAGAAACTGCAGCAGTTAGTAAAAACCCGTACGGTTCAAACGCGGACCGAAGTTCGCGAAGAAGCTTTACGTAGTCCTCCTTGTCTTCATCACGACCTGGCACTCGGTCTGCTTCACCGGCCGCTTTCATTCCTGGGTATTCCTGTAGTAATATAAAGATTCTAAATTAAAACTGCCAGTTTAAAAAAAATGACTACAAACCCAATCAAAATCAAGTCCATCTAGTTCATATTTTTTCAAAAACTGTACACAACTTTCTACAAAAGTAGCCCTTGATGCTGGATTGCTAACCATTGCAGAGTACTTGTTAGAACCCTCATTCCAACCTAATTACATTATATTTTTAAACTTTGAATAACAGTTTAAAATGTAATTACCTCCAATTGAAATTAGAGTTGCAAGATTAGGATTGTAGTTGCGAAGTTCATTCATACGGCGAATCCTAAGTGCATAACAATTTTCATTAAATTATAAACTCACACAAATTACAATTATTAACTTACATTCCGTGTCCCCAAGTTAGACCCGAGCTCCAATCTTCATCGCCCGAGTCAAGGTCGACGTCATAGAGAGCGATACGATTAGACGCATCAAGCTTGGCAAAACCATAGTTGATATGTGTACACAAGTCTATTCAAGATAAACAATTAAACATGTCAAAGGTATCTTTACGCAAATCTTACGTGGATTAATATTTTCTGCTTCAAACTTTCCGTCTACACCTGGCCGGTAATATGCCTAATTAACACAGGAAAATAAAACATAGAAGTGTTTAAAAATTAAAAATGTTTCTAGGAGACTTACCCAAGTTCCTTTAGTTTTTTGTGAATAAATTTAAAAATAATTAAACTTAAATGAAAAAACAATTAAGAAAAACTTACCCCAGTAGCAGCCAATAACATAGGGATTTTTGTTCCGATCTATTAGAATGTGTGCATTAGAGCTACTTCAATCAGTCACGCATTAATCACCAATGCCTTACCAACTGGTCGATCTGGTGGCCATTCTCCCAAAGCCAAGCTGAAAGCCGTGGTTACAAACAGAAACACAAAAAAGCCGTTCATGGTGAAAAAACTGACTATCACCGATGTCTACCCATTAGTGAAATTACATTCAATTTGCGCTTCTATTTATACAGGCAGTTACATGATAACGGTAACAACATCAATGTAGATCGAGAGGAGCAATCCCAGATGACTGTCGCCGACTGATAGGCCAATCGGCCATTATGGTTCACGTTTGAGAGAGGTCGTTTGCTTTTAGGTTAGGGTCAAACAGATGTCTGGCAATGAGCTTGGGCAAATTATTCCAGTGCATATATTGACACTGTTTTTACTGGTGATTATCAAAACGAGTTGATAGTGTTGTTGTTTGTAGTGTTTATATCAAGTTGTTTTGTTTTTAGGTGCCACCGGATACTCAAAGGCTTATTATTGCCTAGCTGCGCCAGTTGCTGGCACGTCACATCACCCCAGCAAAAGAGCAGCAACAGTCTTTAGAGGAAGCTGATAGATGTAGTGATCGCTAGGCTGATTTCAAAAGAGAAAAGAGGAATACCGGATTTGACTGTTTCACATTCAAGGCAAGTAAAGTCATGGAAGGTTTCGCTTGAGTAACTATCATTTCGACATGACTCGTTTGTTACGTCCAAGGCTTCTCACCAGGGAAAGTGGTCATTGACAGAAGTACAAAGTTCAGATCAGTGACATATCTCCATTTTTATTTAGTTTTACAACTAAAGGTAATTGTAAGAACATAAAAAGTTTAAAAATTGTTGCTATTTTTGACATCAGTGTACTTTTAAAAGTTTTAAAATCATTTCACTTTAGTAAGGTGCACATCTGATTATTAAAAGTAAAGGGTGTTGTTGAAGTGATTATTGTCTTTATAATTTTCAAACATGATGATTATTAATGCGCGTTTTTTTCACGTGCAGATGCAGTTGATTTTGATTAGATTTTAATGAGAAAATGTAGATTATCCCTTCTTCCTTAAAATAGATGTTTTTCCCTCTATTTCTCCGAAAACACTATTTTTGCTCTTTAAATTACACCGTTAACCAGTACGTTACAAAAATTTGGTTGAGCTCGTTAAAATACTTCCAGTTGTGTTATAATGTTAAAACTTTGTATGTGAAATTGTATGTAAAAATGCATAGGGGTGGACCACTAAATAATTGAAATACATATAAATCTCGAATCCGATTCCCACTGGTCTAGAGTTGTCCAGAGCTCAGAGAACTCACGTGACTCAGGGGCGGTGTGCTCTAGTCTCGCTAGAGGGCGACACACCGCCTACGCGCGTCTACTTCTAGTCAAGTTTCCATTTTGATAGTTTAACTTTTAGTTAGAAAAAGTAAGTGGATCTGTTCCGGAAGTGATAAAACATCTGAAAAGTAAAAAAACAAAAATAAAAATTAGGTTACTAATGAGGCTAAGATTTATCAAAAGTGTGTAGTGCCAGCTGCAGTTTTTAAAAATAAATGCAATAAAATGTTTATTGAAATTGTTAAATTTTAACACTCCATACCTTCACTTGTGTCAGTTAAAAAATAAAAATAATAATAAAAAGCAAAAAACAACAAAAACAATTTTCAATTTTAATTTTTTTGTTACAAGAATTTTTAAAAAAATAAAAGTGTTATATATTTTTAACTGTTTTAGATAACGTAAAAAAATTACTTGTTATAAACAAGTCAACAAGTGTCATAAGTTAATAATTTAAAAAAATAAATTGTTAAAAGTTTATAAAAACAAGTAAAAAAGTTTGTTCACATTTTAGTTTAAAGTTTAAAAATTATAATTATAATTCTTAAATAAAATATCCAGTTTTATATTTTTTAAATGCTGTTTTTACAGATTTCTATTCCCACTGGTCTAATGTGCTATTCACAAACAATGATTTTTTCAACAGCAAGTTTAAGATGCTTAAAACATCATTTTAGTGCACATATGCATGTTGCTGTAGTTTATGTAATGTGTTTCTGTTGCATCTGTTTCTGCTAGTTTAAGACACGCTGTTTGCCCGTGATCTGCACTCTCTCACTCACCGGTATACTTTGCGCAATCACATTGACAGAATTTAGAACCACTTGGGTTTGTTCCGCTCAATGTAGACAGACTAAATTGCGTTGTGGCAAACACTTTTTACCAAAAAATATAAATAATTTCTAAATTCAAATAAAAACGTTTGAAACTTAAGTTTATGAAAAAAGTTTATTTTAAAAATTGTACTTTAAAAATTTTTTTAAATTTGACAAATCTTTACAATTGTTTTAATAAACTATTTACAAACAACCATGAGAAAAAATGACTTGTTTAAAAATTATTGAGACTAAATGATCTCAGCAACAAAATGTTTTTTTCAATTTTGTGCCCAATCACGTAATGTTGTATTATTTACCTAGCAATTTTTGAGGTACGGTACAATATGGCCAAACTAACTACCATAGTAATGGTCTTTGAAATGTTTTTTACTAAAATCACCTAATAAAAGATTTGACCACGTTTGTTCTAGTGCTATATAGCTGTTGTGTCCGCTAGTCTACTAGTTGTTGATTTGGACACCTTCTCAACACAGGTAGAAGGAAGAAACAAGCCATTTGTGCCTGTGTGCTTATGCCCAGAAACAGAGTTTAACACCGCTACGCTTTTGGAGCTTGTGTGAATGTTGCGTTCCAAATTAAAAAATGTCTGGGCGTTTAAAAAATTAAAAACCATGAGGCCAGCAAATGACAGCAGTGTGCACTGTGCTTGCCAGTAATGCGCTAAATTTGTGGTTTCTTCTTTTCCACATCACCAGCAGCGTTTTCTACCCGAAAAGAACATTGTGCAAAGAAAACAGAACGCAGAGACATTGTCAGTTTTCAGGCAAACCACTACGTCAGTGCGTCAGCATTGGTAACGTCTTCTTCAGTCACTTGTTTTTTCGCTTCATTTTTCATCCTCACCAAGAGACAGCTACTCACCAGTTTGCCTCTAGTTTTTGCTTGCTTTTGCCTAATTAACCTCTAAATTGAATTAAGTCACACGGTGCAGTCGTCTGTAAATACTGTCATTGACTGAGTATTCTACAGTACACACCACTAGTGTCATATGGTGGCAATGGTACACTTGAACCTGTTGTGGCAGAATAAATGCTGCACAAGCAGCAGTCGCAACAGTGTATGGTTGGAAAATGTCTCAGTTTTTCTTTTGACTTTTTAAAGTGTTTTTCAGCAAACAATGATCACTAATTTTGTTTGTTGAATACTTCTGTTGAGCGGTAATTATTGTTTTAATTTGACCATTCGCATCTGCTAAACCAACTTTTATCATTCGCTTGTTCTAAAACTTCATTATACTTTTTTTCCTGATCAATGCTTCTCATCATTTCTAAACATTTAAACTTATTGCAAAACAACTTTATTTTAATGCATAAAGTTTGACTGCTGCAATTTTTAATAAATTTAAAAACACAAACAAAATTGTGCTAATTTTTGTATTTTAAAAATTCTAAGTATTGCATTTCTACGCCGATTATCAAACACTGGTCAATTTTTATAGTTAAATCAAACGCATTACAAATTGTATTTATAATTAAAACTGTATTATTAAAAATTTAATAGTGCGAAACTAACAAATGAATTTTTTGATTGCCATTAAACAACTATACTAGTTTAGAAAATTCAATTTTATTTTTTTGCATTACTAAATTCATTTATAGTAGGGTTTTTCTGTATTTACTTTTTAACTTGCTTTTATATTTGTTTAATTTTTTTAATTTTTTATTATTTACACAAAATTGCGCAGTTAATGTTTGTTTTTATTGTGCCGTACATTAAAAAAATTGACTATCAGCTTGAGATTTTGTTAATAACATAAACAGTTTTCAATTTTAGTGCAAATGCTAAAAAATTAATTTGGTTTTTTTGCCAACTGTATTGACTTTGAGAACTGTCAATAAATGACCGTTTATTAATCATGGTTTTAGTTTGTTTCATTGCCATCAAGAAACTTGAAAGTGTTTGTTTAATGTCTATGTTTATTTCATTACCTGTTAAACAAATCAACTGCAAATGACGCACAAAAACATAATTTAATAAATTTTGTTTGTTCAAATAATTAAATTTTTTTTATTTTTTGCAGGCCATTTCAGCAAAGAAAGCTTGCGGTTTCAATCGTCGCTTTGCAATGTGCACCATTTTTCATCGTAACCAGCTTCTCGCCCTTTTACAACTTCTTCTTGACGGATTATAACAAAACTTAAAATAAATTTTTTATTGCTAGAAACTGCCCAATTTTTGACCAAAAAGTTTCTTTGATAAGAAATTTTATACTATCATTACCTAAAACCAAATCTACCTGTACATAATTTTTTTAAAAGTTCTGAAACAATCGTTATTCAAAACAACTTTTTATTAAAAATAAATTGTACATTGCAATGTTTGGTAAGTTTTATAATCAAATTTTTTATTTTACATTAGATAGAATTGTAATAATGCAAATGATGATGCTGGTCATTAACTTTAGAAAAATTTTCTTCATGTTTTCAATAAGGGTTTTTAGGTTACACCAGTAATGATTGTTTATGGTCAATTTGTGTCATTTTTTAGTGCCATTAATCAACTGTTAACTTATGTTATCATTTATTATGTTAGCTTTTACTTATAATAATTTTTTTGGCTTTTGTTTGTATTAAAACCTGACTGTCATTTAATTTGTGTACTCAAACAAAATTATGTTGTAAAAAGTCATAGTAACCAATGTTGTTTGCAGAAACTCAATGTGGTCACTTTTGAAAAGTTTTATAAGTAAATAGGTTAATTGTTTTTATTGACAAGTTAAATTTATGATCAAGTAAATTTTATTGTTTGTTTGTGTTTACTTTATCAATTTTTAAATAGACAAAAATAAATGTTTAT